ACAAACCTACTGAGTTCAAGTTTTTTTTTCCTGTGATATTCTTACTGTATGCGGCCTTGGATGAGAACAACATTCTTCCTATTGGCGAGCGTTTTTGCACCAACCTTTTATGGACATATTTCAGCTGCTGGATGTATAAATGTGCTTTTTGTGTTACATTGCGTTGTAAGAATCAGCAATAACCCGATGATCTTACCACACGCACGACATTTTTTCACGGACCTCAGTTTTTATGATCTGTTTTAGAAATTTATTTTCTTGTCTTTTGAGCTGAACATTGTCGTATGTAACTCATTTTTCGTCACCTGGTAGGATATATTTAAGGAATAATTTATTAGAATTATACATTTGACATTACAACTGTTCTCATAAAACGTAATTACTTATGACTAAGCCTAATATAAACGTAAGTGTAGTCGCGTACAATTGGCACGCAAATATTAATTAAAGACTTCTTGATTAATGATAGTATTTTAGATTTTACAAGTACAAAAAGAAAGCTACTTATTCCTCTCACTTTGTGATCTGTATTATGGTATTTTACTTCGGCGACTGTATTTGAAGCCAATCATTTTATTAGTTGCATGTACGTTATAAATGAGGCCAGAGAGGCATTTATTTTCTTGATTTTGCGAGACGCTGATGCCAAGCTGTATTAGTCTCTACCTTTCCCGTGGGCAACACCGGTGGCGTGGAGAAGGGGGACGTGCTGCATAAGCAACCACCGATGTTTCATAAAACCCTACCCAGGCCAGATCCTTGGAGAGGACACTCCGGCATCGCCTCACCGCGACGTCAAAACACGAAAAGCAACAGTCTCTCTTGTTGGTTGGGGGGGGTGATTCCGAAGGTCCTTCTGTACGAGAAACTGGCCACCGGTAAGAGGGCACGGTGAAGACCTCATATTCGTTTCAAGGACGTCTGCAAAAGGGACATGAGGGTGATGGATATGGACATCGAGAGTTGGGAAGACGTCGCCAACGAACGCTCACGCAGGAGACGCTATTTACACCGAGGACTGCTGGGGCGTAGAGAGGAGAAACACAGGCTTGCCGCCGCAGAGAGGTGTGCCCGAAGGAAAGAAAACAACACGGCAACATCGGAGGAGAGCGTCTTCACATGAATTCGTTGCAATCGAGACTGTCACTCTCATGTGGATTTGTAAAGCGATAACAGATGTTGTGCCACCTTCAGCAGCTGAGGCATAACTCTTTGGGTGCAGATCCATAATCTCTCGAGACCGACAGATGCCACACATTATTATCGACGTTTATGATAAATGTTAACGAAGCGCCATTCATCCTAAATAAGGAAGAATATTTATTTTATAGCATAACGATTCTCATATAATGATAACGAGGCTTAATATTTTTCAGGTAACTCCTAAAAGCATGCAGTTGTATATTTCAGAGTTTTTTCTCTGATTGTTGTAGGTCTTATGAGTTCAAGTTACCGTCAGTTGCCTGACCTTAAGCAGCTGACCAACAGATCTAGGTGCTGATAAACTGTGCATCTCTGTTCATAAGTGGGAGTAATAACGGTGTCGAGAGGGTTGGGAGTCTCATTTACATATTTGGGAACGCCCTCAATAGGGGACCGTCTGTGTAGACTAGGTTATCTAAATAGTCCCAATCTGCAAGCTCATGCGCTGTTTTTATCAAAATCTTTCATCATATCATACACATTTGGCTGTGACACATGTGCCTAGTACACCCTTATCAAATAGGGTGTCACGATGGGCATACTGACTTTCGTATATTTCCAAGTGCACCTACTATTATCGGCATGACTCTTACTTTTAATTTGCATATCTTTCTCAGCTCCTGTAAAAGGTTATAATATTTCTCTAATTTCACACACTATTTCACATTCACTGTGTAAACCCTGAAAAAGTTGCGCCCACAAGCTGATAGATTCTTTTTTTTCTTTTTCTTATTTCATTTTTGATTTATCAAATCCATTTTGTTGTTGTTGTTTTCGTTTTTTTGTTTTTTGTTTTTTAATCGGTTCCACCCCATGCGAGGTAGAAAAGCCACTAAGACACACGAGGTTAATGGATGTGGAAGAATTAGGAACAGAAACATTAATAATGAGCAGAAAGAAAAAATAGTAATCAGGAGAACAGTAGATATCGATTGACATCGCATTTAAATTCTTGCACATTAATGTTGGCTGGAAAGCATGAAGCCGAAAAGAAGTTCCACAACAGCGAGTGCGAGAAAATCAATTGTTAGCATAGTATTTAGAATTAGATCTAGCCAGCTCAACTGTAAATTAATGAGATCCCGAAGCCAGTTTAGTACTGCGCTTAAATTCAAAGTGTTGCTTTTCTTTCTTGGATCGTGTTTTCGGCTTGGATATCGAAATATTATTAATAATTGGTACCTCTTCACACCAGAGGAATTTCTTTTATTACTAACTTCGGTTCATCGACTACATCTGGGAAAAACGCCTGTTGTAATCGCTGTGTTTGAGTACAACGTCGAGTCTGGAGAAATTCGTAAAAGCATCAAGTTGATCACAACAAAAAAAAGTGGGTCTTCAATCCACATGAACAAGGCAAAAAAACCCAAAGAGGATGTAAGACAGATAATTGTGTCAATGATTTATAGTTTGTACAAGTTACTTGGTACGCTTCTCATTTTTATTAAGTGCAAAAAATTGATTGACCGGACAACCAATAAAATGAATCAAACTTTCTTTGTTTTCATTTTAAGTTGCAATAGAAAAACATTAGGTAGTCAGTGCTCCACACCCCACTGAGAAATTTATTTCTATTGTTAGAGAAGTAACCATAATTAAGAGTTTAGTTACCAATCTTAAGTTAGTCCGAAGTTGGGCAACATTAGCGAGACACTGGCAAGTAAAAGATCTCTTAGTAATGAAAAGCAAGAAGAAAAAGAGTTCATGGTCGTCCGAAAAGGAGACGATCCAAGTTGTGAATTACGTATTGGGGACGTCAAAATTAATTAACTACAGATTTTCAACTATTTGGATAGTATCATAACGGACAATGGAAAATGTGACACTGAAATCCGAAGACGTATAAGAATAGGAAAATGCATTCATAACCCTAAGCAAAGGAATAAGAAAAAATATCCGCTTAGGACAACAAATGACTAGAAGTTATGAAGAGCTATGATCACCCATGTTCTGAGGTACTTGCCACATGAAAGAGGCTTGTAATTCACATACAGTAATTTTATTTTATTTTTATTATTTTTATTTTATTTTATTTTACGGTTTATCAACCCTTTGTGGGTTATTTAAAGCCGAAGCATATTTTCGATTGTAAGAATTATTTTTGCATTTGAATAATGCATTAACAATGTTTTGGAGATAACAATGAATTTTCAGGATCCGTAAAACTTGAAGTATCAGTGAAGTTTTGTGTCACTGAGTGTTTTACGTAGAGTTTAGTTTTAATCTCACTCAATTTTAGGTCAATTTTCTTACGTTATTGGTCTTTTAGTATTTTAAATTGGAATAGATGATTTAATAGTTTCAGTTTTTGTCTTTTTCATTCTGGGGGTTAGGCCAAGTTTCGTTTGTATTTTGCTTTTGTTTCAAGATTATATATATATATATATATATATATATATATAGTCACAAATAAAAGTAAGACGCAATCTAAACATTTATTTTTATTTGTTACTTTAAACTATATCTCCTGATATCGATCACTATAATTACAAAGACTGCTTGTCTTTTTTACGAAAGACAATCTTTATCACTTATATATCTATTTTTATATACTACAATCTTAATCCATTCAAGTCTCGGATTAAGCGTTATCTTTCCCGCATATCCGCCTAAACTATACCTCTTACTCAGTGATCCTCTACCTCGAGTGGCTCCCGGGCCTTGTACAGGGTGAGTATTACTGTACAAAAATATTTGAAGTGCAATATCTCCCATTTTCGGAATAAGGTTTGAGTCATGCTGAAGACCTCAGCTCATATCTTTGACCAATCTCTGACAGTCATTTATATATAATATGTATATATATAACATATATATATATCTATATATATATATAATAATTCTACCAACATGATTAACCTATTTATCTCGTTTTGTTTAAAGTTGAATAGAATAATTCTTCGCAATCATTTCATTTTTCTCTTTCTGTCATTTTATTTGCTTTAGTTCCACTATCAACCCAAATCTTCCAATATCGAATTCTATAGATAATTTTTGAAACTTTTCTACAATTAGATTTGTTTTGTTCATTTCAGTCAGTTATATGCCATACGCGATACACACTTAGGCGATCATATATCGTTCGATACATGACTGGCAGATTTCTTTCTGCGGTAGACCAGTTGCCATCCAAGACTATAGAACCCGGTCTGTCCTCCTATTTACCCATAGCCTGAGGGTGGAGAGAAGAAGAGGGTTCATACCTTTTTTTCAAGGGTATTAGCACGACTGGAATTCGAACTCGGCTCTCCGTTATCCATTACTGCACCTTGCCTCCCACGTAAAAAACTTTCGTTAAATCTAAGTTACTATCGCTTTCTACGTGTTCTCCTAATTTCATCAAAATTCATTATTCAACCTTTCAAAACAATTCGTCTATTTTCACTAACCAGCTTCCTTAACTTAAATACTTTAATACATTAGCGAAATCCATATCTTTTTTTATTATTATTATTCAACACTTTTTCCTTTCTTTATCTCTCTGTTTAGCTACTGTTTATCACTATTAATCGTTTATTTTACTTTTCAGGGTAGGAAGTGTCTTTATTACATTTATTTGATTCGTTTTTTCTATGACTTATCAACCCATTGCAGGTTATTTAAAGCCAGAATATATATGTTTTTAGATTGTCAGATATTTTTTTAGATAATAAATGGTTTAGTGATACAAGTCTTACTAATTAATCCATAGCTGGGACTAAGAGTATTTGTGCGTAACGAACCCAACTGGAATTGGAACTCGGTCCTCTGATTAACAATTCAGAGCCATTTTTCTTTACACCACCCGCACATCCAAGCTTACAGCACTTGATATTCCCAAGCAGCCACCCACCCAGGTACTGACCAGGTTCGACGATGCTTAACTTCGGTGATCCTACGGGAACGTTTGAACGTGATGTGGCCGTAAGCCTTTGTTACAATTAAACGAAAGTGAGCAAAAATTGAAAAAATTATATGGCAGTGAATGCTGAACAATCTCCCCACAGATGAACAAGAGACTTGAAGCAACATAAGTGTAGTTCTACAGAAGGATGATGAGGATACCATGGACCGAACATGTGAGCAACGACGAAGTTTTAGTGAAAATGGAAACAAGAAGGACACTTATACTTAACGTCAGGAAGAGAGAGTTGAAATTTCTAGGGCACACAGTGAAGAAAGAGGACTTGGAAAACCTGATACTCACAAGACGGACTGAAGGCGCGAGGGACAGAGGAAACGAACGCATAATCTACTTAGTGATCTTGAATAACTGGATGTCGGAAAAGAGTTTAGATAACAAAAAGACAAAATTTATTAATAGCTTCAAAGGACAGGAAATTGTGGAGAGCCATGATTTCCTACGTCATGAAAGGACACGGCGCATAGAAGAATCTTTAAAAAAAGACAGATGGAAAACTATCAAATCCTTACATGAAAGCTGAAATATAATGACGCACTAGGTATGACCGTAAATATTTAAATAGTACCTTACACAGAATAAGACTATTTAAGACGAAAGCCAGAATTAGAAACAGCAAACTTTGTTGTTGTTGTTGTTGTTGTTGTTGTTGTGTGTGTGTGTGTGTGTGTGTGTGTGTGTGTGTGTGTGTGTGTGTGTGTGTGTGTGTGTGTGTGTGTGTGTGTGTTAATACCATGTTCCTTCGGAACGTAGATTTTTCTTTTTTTATCTGTGAATCGACATACATTCTTGGGAAAGATAGTCGACTAGTTTCTATGTTGAATTCTCTTTTTCCTTAGACTGGTTGCCAACCAAGGCTAGAAACCCCAGTCTACCCTACGATCTAACCCTTAGCTGGGATGAGAAGAGACGGATTCGAGCCTTTCCCAGTGATATTTGTGCGCAAGTGAAAACACCCAACACCCATTACACTACTCACAGGCCCTAGCGTATGGGTCAGAACATCAATAGATACTTAGTCTAATGATAAAGAAAGTATTTATTTTACACAGCATTTAACAATATTATCTCTCTTTTTACGTCACCCAAAGTGTAAATATTATATAACGAGACCAAAATTCAACTTCTAATTGTGTTAGGCGACGGAATTATTGATCCACTCTGGTATATATTAGCGTTGATATATTTGAAATTCGAAATAAAATCCAAGCAAAAGTTTTTATATGAAAAAGTAGCTGTCAAAAGAAAAGGAACGAGGAAGTGTTTTTTTTTTGTTTCCATTCTTGGCAATGACGCAATGATCTGTTCTAATATTAGTAATAATGAAACACTTCATATTGATAGTTGCTTTGATGTTTACTAATCTTGGCTTCATACGACACTAGGCCACTGGTGTGGAATACGAAGTGAGGACCGAAATCATTGCAGTCTGCTAGACAGGCTTGATAACCATTGCTCCACAGCGATGAACCTATATTGCAATTTGTATTGTTGATGATGATGATGATGATGATGATGATGATGACGATGACGACGACGAAGACGGAATACGAATCGTAATTGTTGACATAAATGATTGGCGAAAAAGAATACACTATTTGGAAAATAAAGAATTATTTAAATAAATTCCTTTTCTCATTTACTTATCGTTTCCACAAGGCAGACAAGACAGATAGATAGATAGATAGATAGATAGATAGATAGATAGATAGATAGATATGTATGTATGTATGTATAAAGATAGATAGAGAAAGAAAGAAAGAAAGAAAGAAAGAAAGAAAGAAAGAAAGAAATAATGTGCACATATTGAATTGGTGCATAATTATCAGGCGTTTTTTAAACAATATTTATTATGAAAAAAGAAAAATAACAATTCAGCAATAACATTTCAAATGATTATTCCGGAGCTTATGATTATCAACATGCATTAATATAACCTGAAAATAAAATAATGTTTTTATTAAAAAAAAAAAAAAAGTAAAGAAAACAGCAATTTTTATTAACAAATAACGCACCTACAAAAACGCCTGATAATTATCCATCTACAAACTCTCTATCCCTGATATTGAGGACTTCCCTCCATAAATATCATCAATCCTCTCTCTCTCTCTCTCTCTCTCTATATATATATATATATATATATATATATATATATATATATATATATATATATATATATATATATATATATATATATGTATACAGTGGATTATACAGTGGATTACATATATCACTATGGGTGAAGGTACATAGGTAGATGTGTGCACATGCATATATATCGTGCGCGCGCACGTGCCCGCCACTCCCTACACACACCTCCTGCCCGCCTACCGGAATAAATAAATGAATGACTAAATAAATCGTGTGCAATCTCGTGTGGAATTACTGTGCAGAAGACACAGACCGAAAGGGTAAAAAATAAAGTGTGCGCTTTCTCTTTGCGCGCGTTCTGGTGCGCGCGCATCAGTTTGAACATCCTATTCGTCTTTCTTTTTTTTTTCCTTTTTTTTTTTTTTTTTTTTTTTTCCCCGCTCTTAAAATGATTCCGTCTCTGCGTTTGTGGCTGGGCCAGTCACGTGACCGCCAGAGATGACTCACTTCACAACTAACAGCAACAATGCAACCAACTCCTGCAGAGCCAACAAAACAAACAAACAAATCAAGAAGCGTTTTCTTTCTTTTCCATCGCCATTACCACGGAATCCTAGCCCGCCGACAGCACCATCCCCCCCCTCATCACTCAAGCTGCATCTCGATTCACCATTTGCTGTTTCCGCATCGATCGAACATGCCTACAGTCTCAGCTTCAACGCTATCTCCATGTCAGATGAACCAAACTCTAGTGCAGCAAGCAAGGGACCACCAACTTTTGGCCTTGTGCCAAACTTATCTCTGCTTTTGAAATAACACTAAGAGGCTACGAACTTTTTAATTGGTTCGAATCTTACCTTTTTCTGTTGGTTTTTCTTCTTTCAGTCTTCCTTTCTTCTTTCTAGCCTTTCCTTCCTTTCTTCTTTCTATCCTTTCCTTCCTTTCTTATATTCTCGACATTTTGTCGGCCACTCTTTTTTTTTTAGTTCTTTTTATTATCTCTCTTCCTATTTCTGTTTCATTCTTTCTCTTCCCTTTCTTCTTCGTTTATTTTTTTTTTTCCTTTTTTATCCAGCTTTTCTCCCTCTTTAATCTTTTTTCACTTTTTTTCTCATCCTTTCTTTCCCCTCTTCTTGCTACTGCTTCTCTCCTACTTTTTTCTTACTCTCTCTCTCTCTCTCTCTTTCTCTCTCTCTCTCACACACACACACACACACACCGTATCACTAACCTTTTAGTATCACTTTTTTCTCATTATCTCTAGAATTTTTAAAGAGTAGCGTTAACCTTTCCTCCTAATCTCTCTCTCTCTCACTTTCTCCCTTACTCACATTTTCTTCATCTCCCTGTCACTTTATCTATCTATCTATCTATCTATCTATCACATATACTTTTAACCCGTCTTTTTTTGTTTCATTGTTTCTTCCTCTGTTTTATGGCACAATTTTCTCACTCTCACTCTCATCTCCCCTCTATTTATCCAGCTCAAGTGTTTAAACTTTATATCTTCTCTTTCTTTCTCTCTCTCTTTCTTTCTTTTTCTCTGTGTGTTTGTGTGTGTATCTTTCTATCTATATACCCTCTACCCATCCTCTTTCATTAACTCCATCTCTCTATTCTTACTCCTCTTATGGCTATTATTCCATTCTCTGCCCCCTCTCTAATTAGCTTCCTTCTCTCAATATTCTTACTTCTCTGATGATCACTAAACTACTTGCTATCTCTCACCCCTCTCTCATTCTCTGTTCCATTCTTGCCTCCCATATTATCAGTATTCTACTGGCTACCTCCGCTCTACTTTCACTTTTAACCCTTTCTCTGTCTATTCATACATCTTTAATAATCACCCTGCTAGAAATGTCTTTCTTCCTCTCTTTTCCTCTCTTTTCCTCTCTTTTCCCTCTCTCTATCACTATCTGTCCTTCTTTTATTTCCTCTCTAGTTATTATATTTAATGACAAGCACAAATAGGTCCCCTGTTACAATGTTTTTGAAATACAATAAAATATTTCTACCGATATTTTTCTTGAGGAAAATAAAATGATCAAAGAGCTTGAGAAGAAACAAGATTAATGCATTTTATATATATGGGGAAAAAAATGGTTGACCACTCGTATCCGAGGATGCCCGTCTGCTGGCACCGTTAGCTAATCCCTGTTGCAGATGTCCGCTCAGGGACATTTGTGTTTGTACAACACCCAGAGCCCACCTGTTGTTTATACCACAAATATGGTGATCGGACTTTAGTTGCAGTTTCTGGGAGAGATCGCGTTGTCTAGCATAATCAGTTGTCTGCACAAAGCCAGCACGCTCAAACTCTCGGTCACGATGACTTGTGGCTTTTGCGCTAACACAACCATCAACGGCTCCCCAAAGAGATCCGTTTACCCAATTTCAATCACAGAGTCAACCCCTCATATAGGTTTTCAGACCGATGAGATCCAGAAATCGCCTTCCTGACAAATCAACCGTGGCGAAATTCGAACGCGGGTATCATGGTCAGAATGTTCTAACCACTCAGCATATGTGTGTGTGTATGTGTGTGTGTGTGTGTGATATTCTGCTACTAATTTGTGTCTCTCTTCTAGCCTAGGTAGAAGTTATACCAACTAACTTAAAACTTTACTATATTACTATAACAACCAGTTAGTTGGATGCGTGTTCCTCCAGTCGTAGTTATATAGTCAGACCTAATCAACTCCTGGATATTTGCTTAGTACTGTAGTAACCCTATAGGAAATAGGGGTAGGGAATGTCAACTCCTCTGTGATCCCCATTTTTCCCAATATTTCCTTTAGTCCTCTCAAAAGAGACAATTTCGTTTGGTGTCTAGGCATCTCCCTCATGCATGATGTTTGTTTCGTATGCCCAGTAGAAGGATGAAAAGGGATTTCATTGGTCCCTTAATCGCTATTGACCAACAAAAGCTAACACGACACTCATTAAAGACGGAGGGGATGAAGACGAATAAAGTCTATTAAAAGCTTAATAGAAAAAGAACATATTAAAATCATTCCAATTCTTCGTCGCATGAATACATGTATATAATTATGTATATGCAAGTATATGATACGGACTTGAATATATCTTGAATATAAATGTTTTTTTAATGTCATATCCGTTCAGGACACAAGCGATAATTGTTTTCTTTAGTTTAATATCAATGAATTGTCATGACTTATTTCAAAAAATAGTTCATAGTTTTCCTGTTGCGTTCAACACGGTTTGTAATATAGAATTTTCCTTCTCTTAGACAGGTTGCCACCCAAGAATAGAGAACACAATCTACCCTTCTATTATACTCATAGCTGGTTGAAATAAATGGATTCATGCCTTTTCCAAGGAGATTAGTGCGAAAGTAAACACAGAACATTGTAGCGAATTACCCTCATTCACTTCGTGTTTGATTTGTGAGATGTAAATTTCACTCGGGCAGCTTCTTCCCACGAACTGTTTCTTTGTGGAACCAACTCCCAAGAGAGTGTTTTCCTGATCACTGCAATCTTAGCTTGTTCAAGTCTAGAAATAACCATTAACTACCCCACATATCCGCCTAAACTATGCCTCTTACTCTGTAAGCATCTACTTCGAATGGCTCCCGGGCCTTGTACATGGTTAAAATCACTGTTAACAAAAAAATCAAAACAGACTGAAATTTGAACACAAATCACCGATCGCATTTTCCGCGCCAATAGCTGTTACGCTACCCGCAAAATAAATTACATAGGATTATATACGTCATTATACGTCATTAATGTTCATGCAAAAATGTCATTAGTGTTCATGCATATACGTCATTAGTGTTCATGCATATAAATTTCTAAGGAATTAATGGATTTTTAATCTGTTATTATTTCTTAATACTATAAACATTATATTTAATGTGTACACGTATTTGAGTAGACAATCCTATTTTTTTTTGTTTTTTTGGGGTTTTTTTGCTGTTATTTCTGTTATTGTTATAAACTATGACTGACATCTACCGACTTGGGCAGTCGAAAATCTTAATGAAGAAGCTTTTAAACTAAGTGTGCTTTTCCGATGTAAGGTAATGAATGTTCGATTACTGCTGAAAGGTACATTAAGTCTTTCAATTTGTTAGTCCGATGGGCGTCTATTACACTGCTTCATAAAATAATAAAAAGGATGCCTACTCAAACCCGTGTATCTGTTAAATATAGTATAGTAGGTATCCGCTTATCTCCTGTTTGGTCAAAGATTCAACCCTTTGTTATATGGAGGCTGTGCGCTGCCCAAACTACATAACCTCACCCACTCTAGACCGTACCAACATGATCCAAAGGAATAGAGGGCATTACATTTAGGGACTGCTTGGCTGCAGGAGTTGCCGGAAAGTTATCAGTGCTGACAACCAACCGCCTTCGGAGTTACACTCCAGTTCCTCTGTCTGGATTTACTTCCATAGCCTTTTTCCCTGTTTGGAAAATACGGGGAAAGCAGTGGAGGTTTAAATCAGGGTTTTCTTTCCACTAAATGGACTGTCTTCCTGGGCTGTCGAGTTCCATCGACCCGAAGTAGCTGGTTATGAGGCGCCAGCTTTTCGCCTTCGCCCATTCTCCGGGTTAGAGCTTGACTTAGTTCTCAGAAGTTATTTGAGATGCATGCCACAGAAGCATTTTATAGACAGTGAGAGCTTGTCCCCGCTGCCACTCCGGCTATGACAACATGGCAACCTTTGGAATGTACGTATATAAACATTATATACATTACGTCTATAACGTTTATAGTAATACATACCGTATAGACTCGCGTATGATGCGACTTTTGAAGACCTAATTTTGAAGCTAATTTGACTACAGTAAATGGATATATAGTTTGGTCAACGGTTTAGCCAGGACCAGCAGTGCACACGCTAATTTTATATTTGGTGTATGATACAACCGCTTTAAAATTAGCTTCAAAATTATATCTTCAAAAGTCACATGATAGGCGACTATATACGGTATATGAGTTTTCAAATGTGTCTTTCTGTGTGAGCACACACTTTTGTACACACTTACAATTATATATATTAACGCGTGATCTAGTAGCTTGTCGAGGAAAGAATGCTGGGTTCTCCAACCTATTTTAGAAGTTATTAGCGATGTCTGGTCTCTCTAAGTCTCATACGACAGATTTTACGAATTTATATTTTCATAATATTGTATTATATTGTAATCTACATTTGTAGTAAGTATTTCTTGGTCTGTGACCTTGGAAAAAGTAGATTCAGGCTTTTTTACAGAGACATTAATACGAAGTGAATAGAAACTAGCCCAAGCCGGAATTTGAATTCGACTTGCTGGTCCTATTTTTCGTTATATTAACTGTTAGGTTTAGCCCGTGACTTATATACACCCCTGGTGTATCTTAAAATCTGATACAAAAGGGTTAAAAAAATATATAAAATACTGTTACTTTAATCAAAATATATTTGCGAAACATTTATATTTAATTAGAAAATGTAGTTTATCAACGAACAAGTGAAAATTTTAAGTTTGTAATTAATTAATTTAAACAAACATTAAAAAAAGGATTTTTTTTTTTTTGGTTGGTCATAAAGATAAGACCATGTAAATAAAAATCACAAATACAGAAAAGATAAGTCACAACGACAATTTAATTCTCAGTATATCCTCCATATTTGTGAATTACTTCGAAAATTCGCTTTGGCATCCTCATTAGTAACTTCTGCTTGGGGGTGCTTGGGATGATCACCCAGGATGCATAAACTGCAGCACGAAGAGGATCCAGTTTCAAATTGTGATCTATGTTTATAAACATCTTTTGCCAGCCATCCCCAAACATTCTCGATTGGGTTTCGATCTGGAGAACGCTGTGGATTGCAGCATTGACCTGTTGGAAAATCCAGGTTTCTCCACATAGATGAGGGCCTTCAGTAATTAGCGATGCCTTTCTTAACATGTCAATGTAACTAGCAGCTGTTTGATGACCTTTTAACCTCTTGTAACTCAAGAGTTCCATTGTACGAAAATGGACCCCAGACCATAATTGATCCGTGTTGAGAAAATTTCTTTTGGGACATCTTTTGCATGCCAGTAACGCTGAAAACCGTCTTGGCCATCAAAATTGATTTTTTTCTCGTGTGAAAACAACACTTTCTTCCATTTATCCACATCCAAAGTTTGATAATCGGAAGCAAATTGTAAACGGAGGTTTTATGGCGAAGAAGAAGGCGAGGCCTCTGCAGCCGTTTCAAGTTCTTAAACCCTTTCTTATTTAAATGCCGTCGAATTGTTCGAGAGCTGCATTCAGCATCTGTATTCACTTTTATCTGATTTGATGTTAGGCTTGAATCTCTCTTAACTTCTCGCCTAATGCGCCTGTCTAGAGATGGTGAAATTTTATTGGGGTGACCGCTTAATTTTTTAGAAGCATACGCATCCGGATTAAATGAGGTCAGCAATGACAGTTCTGCTACGGCCAATTTCATTTGCAATGGCTCGTTGCGAAAGACCACGTCTTTGATGTTCAACAATCCTGCCCTGTTGGAATTTTGTTAAAATTTTACCCTAAACAGTTTTAAAATCTGAAATTTAATACTGGAAATAAGCTACGTAGATGTCTACACGCCTGAAGCTATGAGCACACTGACTAAATTTTTTGTCCAGTAATTTGTTTTCTTTTCACACATGGTCTTATCTTTATGACCAACCAAAAAAAATGTTTGTTTAAATTAATCAATTAAAAGCTTAAAAGGTCCACTTGTTTGTTGATAAACTACATTTTCTAATTAAATGTAAATGTTTCGCAAATATATTTTGACTAAAGTAACAGTATTTTATATTTTTTTACCCCTTTTGTATCTGGTCTTAAGATTTTGACCTGGGGTGTGTATGTATATATATATATAGCAAACTCGTGTACATCGATTAACAAGATCGCGCACGTGTCTATGAATGTGTGTCTATGTGTTCGCACCGGAAATTATTGTATTCAATCCATCGATT